GTGGTCAGGTGGGAAGAGCCCCCCTCACCAGACTACCAACTTTCCCCGCGTTCTGAGAAGTCCGCCACGGGGGTCCCTGTGGGGGTGAAAGTTGTCCACGTCACCCACTCTTGTGAATAGCGTCATTAATTTTAACCTGCGATTGCATTTCACTTTGTCAAAGCACGTTAATGACGCTATGTAAAAAAGACACCTCGAACACTGCTTTATGTAGGACAGACGCAAATCTGTGTAGTTATGTCTGTAGGTTAGATTAGCATTTTAAAAGTACTACAATCACCTTCTGTGGTTGATTGTTCAATAAATCCCTGAATTATATGTTTAACTGATCTCTAACCCTGTCCATGGAGGACAGAAGAAAATGTATATATGCTGGTTAGCATTGTAAATGTGTGGCCATTAGGCCTGGTCGACGACCGGGCCGCGGGGACGCAAAGCCCGGGAAGCACCTCAAGGTAACCATGTCTGTGGTTGAAAAAAACTCCATTTCGTGACGCGCACGTTAGTGTACTTGGGACTTGGAACTGAAGGTGTTGCCGTGCGTAAATTCATTGTCTAGGTTCCTTGGGGTGCCATAGTCCTGACCAGTCGTGCGTCCGGACGTTTAGTACTGGTTCCAGACATTCACTTGTGCGTCCAAATGATTAGTAATGGATCGGGTGTGTACACCCCTCTTGGCCTTGATGCAGTTTTGCAGTTGCAGGGCACAGCCCCGCTCCTGTGCCTGGTAAGTCCACTACGGGCTCACCATAGCCCGTGTACACTCCGGGCTGTCTTGCGTCGCATGTTAACTAAGTGACATCACTGACTTGGGCACCGTTGGCAGGCATAAGAACATTTCTCTGTACCCTGAACAAGTTTGAGAAGAATCGGGGGAGACATGATTACGATGTAAATCGTCGAAAGACTGACATGGGAGGGAAGCTACTTGGAACTTGTTGTTCCGAGTAGCTGAATCTTAAACAACAACAATTGTAGTGCGTTTAGAAACTGCCCAACCCCATCACGTCTGCGCTTGCACACGACGCTAAGCTAACGTGGAACGTAAGATCGCAAAGCTATTGACAAACTTAAAAAATGAGCAGACACATGGCTCATTGAGTTCAACCCTAAGTGTAAGGTAAGGACTATTGGTAAAAGGGCCAGACCAAACAGGTAATGTTAGTGGTAATTATGAGGAGGAAGAACTAAGCCAGTACAACTGGATAGCACTTGGCTATAAGGAACTGGTATATGACAATTAAATTAAAGGGGAAGAAATGGTGGCTAACAATTTGGCCCATCATGGATTGAACTCCGACCTGCAAAAAGCGAGGCAGCAGCTGTACCGACCAGTCCAAGTACGTGGGGATATAACACCATAAGGAAATGGCAAGTACTCGAATCTGAAAGAAAATAATACATTAGGGATGTAATTAGACAGGATAACATCGGCAGCATATGCAAACTCTAAAGTCATACAAACGGTCACAAATATATTGGAAGCCCCACCATCCAAGACATGTTAAGCTGAAGGTATCTCAGTACTATAATATGCAGCACACACGTGGAATCCCGCCACGGGAAGCGCAGAGCAAACTGGAAAATGTGAGAAGTTTACAACTATTCGAGTTAATTAGGACTGATTTGTGAGTAAACCAAGTGTCACGGTGTTAATAACCCTCCCGCGGTTGGTAGGCCTTCATCCCTACCCCCAAACCGGTGTCGTCAGTGACAGACAAGCTCTATAAATAACTAGTTGGGAGTTTTAGTGAAAATATGAAGCACGAGTCATTGCGAAAGTAATTGCGAGCGCGTCACAGGTTTGGAGAAAGGGGAAGCTTCCTGGATGTGACCAAGCCAGGGCAGCTGTGGCGAGAGAGTGAGTGGGTGGGTGTTTGTGGCGACTGATGACTTGTTGCAAGCAACCACAAGCTAAGAGTGCAATATACTATCCACCGGACAAGTTGACAGTTGCAGCCGCACTACACAATGACGAAGTACCGTCAGTGGTCGGACATTCCAGGCAGTTTCCGGACAGAGTGGCCTTCCAGGCATCTTGGTCATTGACTAACGTCCCAGAAATGTCTCTCATTCTCTTGCTCTCGTAGATATCATTCAGTAGGCCAGGGGCGTGGAGGAGCATGGTGTACCTGTAGGTGGAGAGGTGTTGTATAGTGATGGTGAGTGTAGGTGGGTGGTGATGGTGAGTGTAGGTGGGTGGTGATGGTGAGTGTAGGTGGGTGGTGATGGTGAGGTGTAGGTGGGTGGTGATGGTGAGGTGTAGGTGGGTGGTGATGGTGAGGTGTAGGTGGGTGGTGATGGTGAGTGCAGGTGGGTGGTGATGGTGAGTGTAGGTGGGTGGTGATGGTGAGTGTAGGTGGGTGGTGATGGTGAGTGCAGGTGGGTGGTGATGGTGAGTGCAGGTGGGTGGTGATGGTGAGTGCAGGTGGGTGGTGATGGTGAGTGCAGGTGGGTGGTGATGGTGAATGCAGGTGGGTGGTGATGGTGAATGCAGGTGGGTGGTGATGGTGAGTGCAGGTGGGTGGTGATGGTGAGTGCAGGTGGGTGGTGATGGTGAATGCAGGTGGGTGGTGATGGTGAATGCAGGTGGGTGGTGACCACATTGGGGGTCGCCAAGTGTCACCATGCGGGTCATTGTACTCACTGCACCTTGCACAATCTTAAGCAATAACGGGACCCAACAAAACTGTAAAAAAATAATAATAATAAAAATGCATTATAATTCCCCCCCTCCCCCTCCCCTCCTCAACACCTATCTCCAACACTGACTTTATTTTTGTAAACATTAACTAATGTAATATTTGTCATGTCTTTAATGTTAGTAAGCGTTAAGGTTTATCAAGGTTTGGCAGATATTCTATAGTCCCTGGACAAAAATACACCCTCAGTGTATATACACGTATATAACACTGAGAAGTCAGGTGTATACACCTGCCTTGACTGTGTATGAGGATGTTAAGTGGTGAGGTGTGCGGGCTGTGTCCTGGGCCGCCCCGAGGCGTGATTCCGCCCAAGGTTGACGGGACATCAAAATATTTATACTTACAACAGTCGCTGTTTAGATTTAATGTTGCTCTATGATTTCCTGATGTTTACGTAAGCGAATATTAAGGGGTTGAGTCGGGGGTGTTCCCTTACACCTGTGGTGGGTGTTCCCTTACACCTGTGGTGGGTGTTCCCTTACACCTGTGGTGGGTGTTCCCTTACACCTGTGGTGGGTGTTTCCTTACACCTGTGGTGGGTGTTTCCTTACACCTGTGGTGGGTGTTTCCTTACACCTGTGGTGGGTGTTCCCTTACACCTGTGGTGGGTGTTCCCTTACACCTGTGGTGGGTGTTCCCTTACACCTGTGGTGGGTGTTCCCTTACACCTGTGGTGGGTGTTCCCTTACACCTGTGGTGGGTGTTCCCTTACACCTGTGGTGGGTGTTCCCTTACACCTGTGGTGGGTGTTCCCTTACACCTGTGGTGGGTGTTCCCTTACACCTGTGGTGGGTGTTCCCTTACACCTGTGGCGGGTGTTCCCTTACACCTGTGGTGGGTGTTCCCTTACACCTGTGGTGGGTGTTCCCTTACACCTGTGGTGGGTGTTCCCTTACACCTGTGGTGGGTGTTCCCTTACACCTGTGGTGGGTGTTCCCTTACACCTGTGGTGGGTGTTCCCTTACACCTGTGGTGGGTGTTCCCTTACACCTGTGGTGGGTGTTCCCTTACACCTGTGGTGGGTGTTCCCTTACACCTGTGGTGGGTGTTCCCTTACACCTGTGGTGGGTGTTCCCTTACACCTGTGGTGGGTGTTCCCTTACACCTGTGGTGGGTGTTTCCTTACACCTGTGGTGGGTGTTCCCTTACACCTGTGGTGGGTGTTTCCTTACACCTGTGGTGGGTGTTTCCTTACACCTGTGGTGGGTGTTCCCTTACACCTGTGGTGGGTGTTCCCTTACACCTGTGGTGGGTGTTCCCTTACACCTGTGGTGGGTGTTCCCTTACACCTGAGGTGGGTGTTCCCTTACACCTGTGGTGGGTGTGGGGCTGGGTGTTCCCTTACACCTGTGGTGGGTGTGGGGCTGGGTGTTCCCTTACACCTGTGGTGGGTGTTCCCTTACACACCTGTAGTGGGTGTTCCCTTACACACCTGTGGTGGGTGTTCCCTTACACACCTGTAGCGGGTGTGGGGTTGGGTGTTCCCTTACACATGTGGTGGGTGTTCCCTTACACACCTGTAGTGGGTGTTCCCTTACACACCTGTGGTGGGTGTTCCCTTACACACCTGTAGCGGGTGTGGGGCTGGGTGTTCCCTTACACCTGTGGTGGGTGTTCCCTTACACACCTGTAGTGGGTGTTCCCTTACACACCTGTGGTGGGTGTTCCCTTACACACCTGTAGCGGGTGTGGGGCTGGGTGTTCCCTTACACATGTGGTGGGTGTAGGGCTGGGTGTTCAAAACGTGTACTTCCCATATATATATTAGTCGCCTTTATTACGCTAAGTTAAGGAGTTTACACCACCTGCTAACGTAGAGCTGACCAAATGTAAAGTCTGTCAGCTGCAGTAGTCACGTAGTAACTTACGCTCTCCTGTAACTGAGAGCATAATTAGACGAATGATTTTTTGTTGCCCGGTATTGAACTTTCTCCAAAGCAACTATGTCCTTCTGAAGATGTGGTCTCCATGCTTGGATACAATAATCATACAGCCCGTCCCTCTAAGGTTTCCCAACGTGAAGAAAACGGTTAAATTAAAGTGGTCTCTCCTAACCTACCAGAGGACCCGAAACAGATAACGGGACAGTACGTCACTTTCGCGAGCTGCTTCCATTTTCTAGTACGACAACTTTTGGCCTTATGTAACGCATACTTGCGAAATGCGACGTTCTTTGTAAAAGAACAGGTTGAATCTTAAGTGATTTATACAGTTGAATAACTACCTTCTGTTTCTTAAAGTTGAAAGTATGCTTGATTATTTCTAGGAACATTGAGTAGATGTTGTCAATTCCAGGGTTCTGGTGTGAGATGCTTGGTGTGGGTGACTTCTACTATGAACTAGGTGTTCAGATTGTGGAGCTGTGTGTTGCCACCAGCCATCGCAATGGGGGCGTCATCTCACTGGACGAGGCACTCCGGAGACTTAACCACAGGAGGAGACCAGATAACCAGATTAGCGCGTGAGTCATTACCACTTTCCATTTTACTGCAATTTCTTCATCTTACTTTTCAGGTATATTTAAATACAAAGTACTTAATATTTACATAATCTAGTACATATTCACTTGTAGCAATACAGCACATAATTATTACTCTTTTCAGTGATGACTTGGTGAGGGCAGTAAAGAAACTACACGTGCTTGGGTCAGGCATGGAGGTGGTTGCTACAGGATCCTCTCAGTTCATATACGCCATCCCTGGTGAACTCTCAATGGACCACACTACACTCCTCCAGCATGTATGTATGCACCCTCTGCTTACATTCACAATAGTCTTATGCTTCATTTTACCTATTACTTAATAATACAAAAAATACTGATGCCTTTATCTTCTCACAACTCGTCTATTTGCTAGTTTAGTACAGTACTACAATGTATTTTTCTCGAGAACTGTTGGCCTGATACTAATGAAAACTTCTATGGATATTTTTATGATGCTAAATTTAATTTGGGCATATATATATACTTATGATTTCAAGCAGAAAAATGTATGTATTCTGTTTTAAACATATCTGTACATGTGTGTGAATGCATCCATAATCTATCAGACCAATTTCCTTTCATGTCCTTCCTATGTGATTGCCATTTCCTGCCCCACACTGAATCCAAATTGAATCGTTTGTTTACACCCAAAACATATAAATAACTCAAGTTCCAGCACTTGACATTCAGACAGCATGCTTAAAGTTGCCTGGAAGGCTAATGACTATTTAATTATCCTCCCTTTTTTTTACACTACAGTAATTATTGTCTAAGAACTCGTTCATTTTTCCTTTACAATACTTATAATTTAATCAGCTTCATTCAAAGCAGGTCTAGTTGGGAAATATTGTACACTGGTTTACCATAAACTTCAGTTATTTTTTGTTACAAATAAAAAAATATAATTTTAAAGTTTAATACTATTCATGGACTATTCTCTAATATTCAGGCCGAAAATGTTGGCCATATGACTGTATTTACTGCAACATCAAGTCTGGGGTGGACACAGGAACGTGTTAGCCGTACACTGGATCATCTACTAAGAGTGGGTGTTGCTTGGCGAGATGACCAGGACCGTCCTCCCTCATATTGGTTTCCAGCATTTTTTCAGCAGTGTACAGCAGCTGAATAATGTATGTTTATGGATTATATTATGGTATCTGACTGATAGATATTCATTTGCTTGTGTGTTGCTTTTTACTTTGTTTCAATGAAGTATGTTCTTTAATGGTTTATATTTATACTCTCTCTGTTAGTTTTCATTCTTGAAGGGGTGACCTCAAATTTATCAAATGTATCTTCTGCTTTCAAGTGTAATTTTTTCTTTTTTAAGTGGTACACAAAGTACAGTATAGTAATTGCCTGAGAAAGTCCTGTTTGTTTTCAAGCATTCAGTATATCATTGTACTAAAACAAGAGAGTATGGAACAAATAAGATTTTCTCTTGGAATTAAAGATAAAAGTAAAAATGTCTTTAACAGAATAATAGACAAGGCCCAAACATGAGGTAAAAAGAAACAATACTGTACGTGATAAAACATTGTACAGTACAGTATATTCTATTAATGGAGGGTGATAAATCACTAAGTGTACATGATTGCAAGAGTGAAAAACTCATGTCAAGTTCTGTTTTTAATGAACAGGAAATACTAGGCAGAAATGTAGTGTAGATTTTCTTAATGAATTTTGTCTAGAGATTAATTTGTCCTTGAAATTTCAGTGCATTCATATACATATGGAAGATGAATGATGTGTGGAAGTAAACAGAAATCACTGATATGCTGTATAGCCTTACAAATTTAATAATGAAGGAGGTATTGAATACCAAGCTGGTGTGAGGAATGCTATTATAACATTTCATTGTTACGTTAGTTTTGGTGACAAACACAAAGTAAATATATATATTTACACTAATGTATAATAAGGTACAGGGGTTTGATGAAGTGAAACGAGGAATGGTGTGTTGACCAGACCACACACTAGAAATTGAAGGGACGACGACGTTTCGGTCCGTCCTGGACCATTCTCAAGTCGATTGTGATGAGGACAGGTAGGGACAGGCATTAAATAGGCAAGAGAGAGCTGAGGAGGAAAGTCAGGTGTAATGTGTCAGGAGGAATGGTGTGACTGTGGCGACCCATCGACTCTCCAAGAGGGTGAGGGTTATATAGTTATATGTAAAACATTTAGGCAAAGTGTATGTCCACTTTGAGAATAATGTAGGTGCCATATAACTGAACAAAGGCAGAAATAATACCACTGTGCAAGAATAAAGTTCAGATGAGCAGAAGCCTAAAGGAAAGTATCTTGCTGGAAGGAGCTTGGAAGAGTTGAAAAGTTACAATGGAGAAGGTGACGGATTTGACTGTACGATGTGATGAGGAAGGAGGGCTTAAAATAGGTAAATGGTAATGATGATGAGTCAATAAAGTGGCTGAAAAAAGATGACCAAATCACAACTCGGAAGATGGAGAAGCGACAACGTTTCGGTCCGTCCTGGACCATTATCAAGTGATAATGGGATAAATAACACACAAATAACAACAGCGTCTCCATCTTATGCGTTGTGGTTTGGTCATCAAGGTAAAAGAATATGCTAATAAGATATGGTTTATTATTGTCTGTGATAGAATACCTGCTAGGCTTATCAAGATCCCTAACTCAAATAACTGACCTTCCTCAGGAAAACTCACAACAGTTGACAAACTCCTCGGAAACTAGTAACTTCTGAATGAACCAAGGCATTAGGTGTAAGGAATCTGTACTCTAGCTTGTAGCAAAATTTTGGAAAGAAGTTGTGTGATGCAAATCTGGATTTAGTAAATGACCATGTATCACATGGTGCTCAGATGGGATGCCTTACCAGTGAAGTTCATATAAATGAATTATTTTCACTTAATATTCATATATTTTTTCACAACCCTATTAAAGTACTGTATTCATACTTAGTTATTTTCATTAATACATTGTTGAAGAAGATAACCAGATTTGACTGTTTATTGGCAGTTGTGAATTCTGAGGCATGATTTTAAAATAGCAGTTTCCAAATACAGTATTTTGGTTGACAATAACTTTTGCTAAATGTGGGTAAAAAAGAAAGCTGTTCCAATCAGCAGAAGTACAGTAACTGGAAGAAAATGGTCCAAGCACGGATACACTGAGAAAGGATTAAAATATTCTATTTCTATTAAGAGCATTATGGTTCTTTAAGTATATAATCATAGCTGTAAGAAAATTTTTAAGTACACTGTACTTTCATTATCGAAAAAAGCTACTTGATATATTGCTGTAAACTACTGCAATTTAAAGACCATACATATGTTGTTATATGCAAATTCAGGCTGATTTTCTTAGTAATTTATTAACTTTAAGTTTTCAAGTAATTTGAAAATTTGTGTAATCCATTGTCAATTAAATGATATTTGTTTGTGAATGTATCTATAGTACAGTGTTTAAATTACAGTAGTGTAGTGTATATACAAATAAAAGTATTATATATACAGTATTGTATATTCACATATTACTGTACAAGCATTAACCATACCAGTTTCCCTCCCATGCTCACTGCAAACACACCTGTAAAGTAATTACTATATATTAATTTGAATGATTCATGGTTTCTTCTTTGAACTTTAGTAAATTAATACAATATAATTCAAACTAATGCAGTCTGTTTACAAAATTTTTAGGTGTTTAGATTTTTAGGTATACTGAAAAATGTGCTAGACAAATATTTATTTGAATGTTAGTCTTTATAATTGTTCACATTTAGACACATTGACAATATAAAATGCCTCTTATATCTAATAGAGTAGCAGCTCGGGAAACATACTGAATGCATATTTCAAATAGCCATGACAGGCGATTCTTTGCATGATAGAAGTAGTCAAGATGCTGAACACGCACTTACAGAATTACGCACTCTCAATATAAGTGAAATACATTTGTACCTGCAAGGATGCCAAAGCAAGAGAAATGTGATGCAACTGCTCACTTGCATCACGGATCCTCTCTAATTTTGGCTTTACATTTAGGGTTGCAACCAAAATATATAATTCACTTCTATGTATGGAGATACTGTATCTTGTCTATTAATTTTTGTGATTTTCATTACAAATGTCTGCATGTGTTTGTAGCTTCATGACAAAGCTAATGAAACTACTTTTACTAACCTTTCCCTCCTTAAGTTTGTACAGTATATATGTCTTGCTGCTCACTAAAACAAGATGACCATAAAAAGATAAATAAAATATAGCAAGACAAATGTTTTATATAATTCTTTAAATATCTAGATAAGTTCATTAAATGTAATTAGCAATATTGTTTGTCTAATTACATATATATATGATATTCCTGAAATATTATCTAAGTCTTAGAAAAATCATTACTGTACTTTTTTATTTAATCGTAAATTTTATAAAAAAAATAGTTCTACTTCAAACAGATCTTTCTGCAACACAATACAGTACTGTACTTGTAATTCCTTATAACAAAAAATCAACATAAGCTGAGAAAATCCAATTTTTAACACTATATAGTAATGTGGACACTTTTTGGTGTTTTAGATTCAGCCACTCGGAACAAAATGTGCCAGGCAGCATGGGCTATGATGAGCCCGTCGTACTCGCCTGGTACAGGAGATGTGCGTGTTATGTGTTGTGCAGACACTGTATACTGTACAGTATGCCCCTGAATTAGCTATATTTCTCTGAAATTGGACAAACTTGTTCAAAACTTAAGTTTATTGATGTTTATTATGTTTAACATGTATTAAAATTTAAAAAGTTCTAAATTATTTCATCTCTCTCTCTCAGAACACTAACCTTAATAATAAATACACAAGAACACATTTATTGTCATCCCATATTAAAGAATTGTGTTAATGAAATAAGAGAAAGATTTACAGGGAAATTTCACAGGATCTGTCCTACAGACAAAGCAATTCGTGAGCTTTAGCAAATTTAAAAGAATTGGATCTGTTCAAAATGTGTTTCACAATGTTAGTTAGATTTTAAATATGCAGGGATACAGACAGAGCTCATATTAAAAGTTCTCAATAAAGATTTGACCTATGATTTATAAATTTCTTTGTATCAAAATTTGGTGAAAACATGACATTACCTGTATGTAGGATTTTAAAAGATTTGTTCAATTTCATAGAAATAGATAATTCTGGGACACCTTGTACATATTGCTCTGCACCCTGGTAATATTTTTAGTGAAAAGATACTGGCATGATGATCATAATACAGAACAAGAATTTGAATCTTTAATCCAGAAATTCAGATTTAGACAAAATATTGAAAGTAGTGTCAGGCTGTTGATTAGTAAATGATTTATTTTACTGCGATTTATCATTGTACCTAATTGTTTGTCCACATCTTTGATTCTTGTTACTCTACAGGTATTTTGAAAAGCTATTCCATTATCATCTATGTCGTCGGCTCACAACTGAGGATCCTAGGTTCGAGTCCCAGGGTAGGACAGACAGTTGGCCAACATTTCCTTTCACATGATGCCTCTGCTCACCTTGCAGTAATAAGTGCCCAGGAATTAAACAACTTTAGTGGGTTACACAACAGGAGGCCTGGTCAGAAACTGGGCTGTAGGGACATTGCTTCCCCGAAATAAACACAAGGTAACCGGGTGACAACACTGGGAAGGTAAGAAGTTGGTTTAGGCGGAACCTTGATAAATCTAAGTGCAAGTTTGCCGTCCCTGACAACACGGAGTCATATCAATATGTTACAAACTATAAAACACATCACGGCTGCAGACAATAAAATATTATTGAAAATTTGAGTACAGCATTTAGTAAATGATCATTGAACTATTAAAAACTCATTTATGGTAAAATGCACATTTTCATTTTTTATGAGAGCAATTAACACCCGAGTTCTTTAATTATCACTTGCTGATAAATCAGTTGGTTGTTTGAAAGAAGTTTTTCTAATTTTCCATATAATCTCCAAACAAGCGACGTAGTTTTCTTGGTAATACCCTGAAATAAATGCAGATTTATTTGAAACACCTATACACTTGTACTGTAACAAAATGTTCTGTTTATTTTGAATTACTGTGCTCTTACAAAGTGAACCATAAGCTTAGTAATTGCAACACAGTGTTGATGACAATCCATTTTATTCACTTATCACAATGCCTTACCTGTACACGGAATGTGGACCAGGCAGCACCATACCCAAGAGTGTCTAGAGGAGAGGGGGTTGCATGATTTTTTGAGAGTAAGAATGACTAAAACAAAGGACAGAAAATGAAAACCAAGAAAGTGAGTTAGTAAATACAAAAATTGAAGAGGAAGAAAAATAGGAATGAGGAAAAAATAGACCAGATAAAAAAGGGAAGGTGAAAAGGTAAGAAAAGTAAAGATGATTTAGCATTTGTCCTAATTAAACCAAATAAATTAACTCAAATAACCTCACAATTCTGACTATCACAGCAAAGGGGTTGATCATTGTGCTTGAAATCTTGGTTAATTTTGAAATGATTTCCGTGCTCTTTTAAAGAGAATATTTACCATGCAACTTTATGACAAAAATTTCAATGCCTTTGACTCACTTTGAGAACACCATGAGGGGCTTCAGTTTTTCTGGTAGAAATATTTCCTCTTGACTCCTCCTGACACCCCTGATGATCCTTGATGCTGCATCGCTGGGTTCCAAGATTTCAAAGAGCCATGGAAACCTATACAAAAACATAAATTTAAACTATACATTAGCGAGACACTAAGAGGAGATATATCAAGAAAAGTATCCCAAATGATACATTCTACGAATAGAAGAGGCAAGCAGATTTTATGAACTGGAAATTTAATAAAAGACTGAAGGCATTATTTGCTTGGGTAATGTTTTTCTTAAACTATTTTTCTTACTGTAGCACCATTCCTGCAACACAGTGTGGACAAGGACAGCCTTTTTAAACAGAGAATAGGACAAGAGAACATTGGTGGATGCTGGAAATACAAATGAGTTGAAGTAACTCAGGGAAGTAATCATATGCTGTAAGGGTGGTCAACAAGAGGAGTATGTTGAAAGTAGTAGTCATGAAAGCCACCTCAAACCACAACTTGGACAGAGCTATTTATAAGACAGTCACCTTGGCAAAAGTCCTTGTCTCTTAGATGAAGACCTGTTGTATTTCAGTCAAGTCTGACAAACCCAGAGTTTGGCTTGGAGACAAATTTGGAAAATTTAACTGGATTTTGAGTGGAGTTTGTATAACATTTTAGTTGTATTAAATATTTCCAGTTATATTTTTTTCATTGCTCTGAGGCCATTGTCAACTAAAATAATCAGTTACATTGCAAGGAAAAATGCTAAATGTGAAACAAAAGCAGTAATGTGCGGAGGATGTTAGAATTATGGTAGCAACTTAAAAAATTAGTATAGTATTACATTATTTAATGTTAAAATAAAGCTGTAATATGTCAGAGTGATGCAGAATATACCACATTCACGTGTTCCTTACTTGAGGTTAGGAGCAACATCTTCAATATTAGATATGAGGAATGGATGAACTGCTGTAACTCTCACTCCAGAACGCCTCTCCATCCTCATCTCTTCAGCGAGAGCCTCCGTCATTCCTGCAGTAATATGCACTCTGTACCAGGTAGCAATTTCACAACTGAGGCTAGCATGTGATAAAGTTCATAACAAACCAAATCTTTCATTAAATAATTTTAAAATTATGTAAATTATATTTACATGTCATTTATCTAACTTCTTTATAAAGATGTGTAAATTAAATGTACAAGACCACTCGTCACATAAAATAAAAAAAAATTTATATTGTTGATGCTTCAGCTCAATACACTTTATACTCTTAGCTGATGCATTGATAGTGTTTTACCCCAACTCACACACCCTCCCACTTAACACAATGTACACTTTATCTGAAGACCATGCCATGTTTGTCATGGACATGGTCAAACATGACATGTTTGAAGACCATGTCATTATGTCGGCTGCATGTCCAGGCTTGTGCACTGGATTTAAAGACTTTCCCAATTTGCACATAACCTTAAATTAAAGGCCCTTGGTATACCAAGGGCCTTTTACCTTCCCAGCTTAGCTGGTTGTTTGAGCTTGAGCTTGTGCTCTTCTTTCGGGATGGGTTGGTTCAGGTAGGGGTAGCGTAATCGAGGTAGTAGTTCTGGTGTGAAGGTTTCATCCCTCATAAGTAGTTTCTTGTTCTGCTGTTCTGTATGCACTATAGTGTGGGCAGATGCTGCCTATTCTCACAGTCGTACAAAAGCTGGTTTAATTTCCTTTGAGTAGTCTTTCACGATGGACCCCAGTTATGGTGTGGTTGTAATCAGTAGTTTTTTATCTGTATTAATTTCATACTTTTTATTTTATTAAATGTCAGTTTTAATTTGGATTGTATATCTCTCTCTTTATATGTAAATATATATATATATATATGAACAGTATATATCCAATCCCAGAGAAGGTTCATAAACCGAAACAAATTTTCACATAAGAAATAATATAAATTGAATTAATCCGTTCCACACTCGCAAAAATATTAACTTACAAATACATTTCATACATAATACTACTGTACAAATATTTTTTAGTACTACACTATGTACAAGTTACATCTTACCTTTATTGAGGACTCTTGTTGGCATATGAAAGACAATGAGGAAAGGTGGGGAGGAGGAGAAGTGATAGTGTTTGGAAGGTGACTCCCCCTTTCCATTATAACATCAGGCACAGAGGACATTTCTGGGGTACACTCTCTTCTACATTTTGCAGGCATACCGCTAGGTCCTGGTTGTGGCTCACTGCTTGCTTGTCTTACTTAGAATCTGCCTAAAGACACTTGTTTTTCCCTATGTTTTAACACTTGTCTATAGTGAGACATCACATTGTCATTAAAAAAGTTAATGCAACAGCCTGCTACAGCTTTATCTGCAATTTTTTTCAGCAAAACTTTGCAGTTCTCAATCTGTATACATTTTCTTAATGAGGAAGGGCCTTTCTCTACTCACAACTATTTTCTCAGGTTGAACTTTACCACTGACTTTCTTGGGACCCATGGCATGATAAATAATAATAACTTTTATGTTCAAAAACCAAAAAGCAGAAGAACAATGAAATTCTTCACAAAGAATTCAAGCGTGGTAGTCACTAGGCGGGATACACTGGTAAACTGAGTGTGCCTTGCCCCGTGCCCAGCAGAACCACGTGCTCGTCAACCCATACATGTATCAACAAACTCGGAAACCGAGGCAAACTCTAATACCGAGTCAAATTTTACAAGGAAATTGACCTCGTATATAAAAAAATTTTGTAAAGAGGGGTATTTAAGAAATTTACACGTGATCAACAATGTGACAAAGTCAGACCATGAAGGAAGGATTAAGACAGGAACCTTCCAATCTGGATGAAATATGGTGATAGATGACTCCTTTCAGTAAATATGTAACGAGACTGGCATTTCCCTAAGTTGATCTCTTTACATCTGTGTGGAACTTAAAGCTACTGTACTTGTCTGTGTGGCTTCTCTGGGCCTGGACAATATCGCGTGTGGTGTGGTGTTCAGTGCTTAAAATAAGTGCTAGCAATATGGATTCTCAATTTTTTTATAAGCTCTAATTATACCATTGCAAACAAGAATAACATTTAAAGGTTTGAATTAAAGATTTTTGTTTGTGAAATGTACACTGCACAGTGAATAAAAAATTGGGGCAAATGTCTTAATAAATTGGTAATGGACAAAAATCACTTCAGTTATGCCAAGGGGAGAGATAGTTGCTCAACAAATCTTATATTAAAAAAAATATTAGGGCTACAAGTACCTTTAACTCCAAACTTGGATGAGCAATATGGTACAACATTACTTCGGCCAATATATCCCAACACCGAGGATATGCAGATAATGTGGCCACGGTTGTGCTTAATCATATGTCCGAGAAATTCTCTTGTCACCTGCCAAAAAGAATATGAAGTACAGTATCTAGGACATGGGCTCAAAAATTATAATACTCATAACATACAAATAACAAAGATAATTGACAATGCAGCTAATTATCATCCAAGACGAACCAATTCTCTAATACACGTATGATATTTAATTCTTTATGTACCCTGCCTTATCTGTGATGTTGAATGATACAGAAAATGATGTTTCATGGTGTGATCTTAGAAAACTGAACCAAGAAAAATATATCTACAGTATAATAACTAATGAAAGGGTACAGTGCCAGTTTAATGTTATGGTATATTCTATTGTTAAAAAGTAGGAAGAATGTATTAGACCAGGAAGTGTTAGGCCGGGCCTTGTGGATTTGTTCAGGAAGTGCCTTGATGATGAGCCAAGGTTAAGATGGCCCGTATCTGGACTGTGGATAACATAGGACTTACATTACATACAAATAATCACATTATGTTAATCTTACTCAGACTGTTTTACAAAACCTTCCACTGCTATCAACTTTTATGTACTCAAACTGATTGTTTTACAGTTCCAGTACTCGGCTATAGGAATAGGCCTAAATTTCATAATTCAATTTAAATATATGTTTGGGTAAATTCAGGATACCTTCTGCAGTTTTCTGTATCCTACCATATATTTTTCTTGCTTCAAATTTTGGATCCAAAACGTTATGAAATCCACCATGTTGATACTTGCTAGTTTGTCAGTTATTTTCTATACTCTTTCAAATGGTGCCGTGTCATACACATTACCCCTTTATTCATAACACGAGACTATAACCATTATAGTTTTTATGCTGGCAGTGTAACTGTTTATACAACAAAGTTGTCATGGCTCTTTCCATCATCTGGTGCTATATACTATTTATTATATAGTATACTATATACTATACTAGTTACTGTACTATAAACCTTTCTCTTCACTATAGTTTATTATTGTGCACATCATCCACATGTGATGATTTCTCACATTTTAAAAGTATTACACCCGTGTTATCTTGTCCATGGAGACATCATCTGGTTTTATGCATATCTTGCTTTCCTTCTACACCAACAAGGCCACTTATACTAGTATTTACAGCTGCATTTCTTTCATTGATTCCACGTCAGATTTTCAGATGACGCTGAAATAATTCCATGTATTGATGGGCACCCATTAAAAGTATTTAATTTTATTTATATACAAGGCACAGTGGGTTATGTTAAAACTTAATATTTAATGCAAAAGCAATTGTCTTACATAAATTAATTGATGTTCCATTTAGTATACGTATTTATAGTTTTAATCCAGTTGCAAAATTAATAAATGAATTAAGATTCATCCCTCTTTGAGATGCAAGAAATGATGAATTTATGAAAGCAAATACAACAGTAATAAAATACAGTAAATGGCTCATTAAGCCCTTACCAGAATAAGAATAAATGCCAAGACACAAATAAGATTTCATAAAGAGAATGAAACAATGATCTTAAAAGACTATAGCTTCGATACTTAAAAACGAGAAGTAATTACATTGGTGGAACAATATATAATTGAAGATAGTTGTTACACTTACCCAAAGATTTCCAAGAAGATTAACATTAACAAGTCTTTTAATCTCCTGAGGCGTATGGGAGAGGAATGGCTTGTGCTCGTACACTCCAGCATTGTTAAACACATATCCTGGGTGACCAATTTCTTTCCTCACCTGTACAGAATAAATAATGTATACTCGTATGATAGTCATCAGATTCATTAGCTGTCAAATGAAGTACATAGACAAGAGATTCAACTTCTGTAATCACATACAAACCAGCAAAATATCAAGTCACTTCTGGGGAGTGAGCTTTCGGTTGCATATATGCCTGGGGACCATTCAGGCTTGTTTGTATTTGTGTTTCTCATGTGTGCTCCAAAGAATGAGGTGATTTGATAAAATACTATGCCCAAGATTATCATCAGAGTGCCGTCGGGATGATGGGGTAAATAGCTTCGGCTACCATCATCTTTTGAACGGTCGTGATGGTCGAGTAGTGAAGGTGTCCTGTACACCAGTTGCAGAGTGCTCCTGGCAGTATGGGTTCCATGGCAGTATGGGTTCCAGTCCCCCCCCCCCCCCAACAACATATATAAATAACCCACGCAAGGCAGCTCCTACATATACCAAGTCAAACCCACTCATATATGTCTACTCATTTGTATTCATCTTATTTATAATCACTGTGTCGGGGGACAGGAAGTCAGAGTGTATTCATACACGTTAGGCTTATATCGAGGTCCTTCCCTCTTCCCCCCCCCCCCAAGGTCGAATTACTTACCCCGCCCAGGATGCAACCCCCACAACACGCTGACTATATCTCCCGAGTACCTACGCACTGCTAGGTGAACAGCGGCATTAGGTGAAAGGAAATGTGCCCAACCATTTCTGTTCCGCCCAGGATTCGAACCCGGAATTCTCGACTGTGCGTCGAGAATGAACCCGACTGTACTACCAGGACCCAAAACCATTTATACCCATTAAGAATTGCATGCCTGAAATGCTTCTTGTAACTACTCTACAAGAGAATGTCTAACTTCTCTATTCAAAGTTGGAGGCCAGAGGTTAGCTTTACCCAACTTTTCAAGAAGACACATGGGTGGGTCGTGAATGTCATAGGCTATAATGAGGGACGGCCACATTGAGGAAATGATGCCTACATTTCCTTTAAGGAATGTCGGCATCTATTCCCCCCCCCCCCCCTTTTGCGATTTTAATGACTTGAAATCCATAGAGTTTTCAGTAGGTTTTCATTTTTTTGTATTATTTTCTAGAAAGAGAGAGAGAGAGAGAGACGAAGGAAGAGTGAGAGAGAGAGAGAGAGAGACGAAGGAAGAGTGAGAGAGAGAGAGAGAGAGAGAGAGAGAGACAGAAGGAAGAGTGAGAGAGAGAGAGAGAGAGAGAGAGAGAGAGAGAGAGAGAGAGAGAGAGAGAGAGAGAGAGAGAGAGAGAGAGAGAGAGAGAGACGAATGGAGAGAGGGAGGGAGAGAAAGAAAGGGGGAAGGAGAGAGAGAGATGGGCAGAACAGGGAGATGGGAAAGCAAGACCCTGGCACACCATCTACATAGTAGCTCTACATAATAAACAATTACTTTACCCAAGAGGTATAACCACTTTATAACTTGTGCAAAGTATCGTATGACTAAAATGAAATATAAAACATGAAAATATTCGTGGCGTGCGCACCGCTCCTGTGCCAGGTAAGTCCACTACGGGCTCACCATAGCCCGTGCTACTTGGAACTTGTTCCAAGTAGCTGAATCTATAACAACATTCGTGACGTTTGGAAATGTAGATGTTTATCTCTCAGAATGTTTGGTAATATGTTTATTGTTTGTGATGTGTTTATATGTATGTATTAACACGATGTACTGAACGTGGTGAGAATAGCTTGAGCTACCTCATCCCTTTGTGTGTATTTTACCTCAATAAACTTATTTCAATTTCGTGACGTGCCAGTACTGACCTTGGCAGCGACGGCGGCCACAGCCTCCTGGTCCGACACGTCGCAGGTGAAGGTGTGGGCCTCGCCTCCAGCCTCCTCAATCATGTCTCCAGTCATCTTATTCTCCTCCTGTGGAACACCATATCATATGGAATCCTGATTTAAACCCAATTTATTTGCTACAAAGGTAGGTTTTAACATATTACTCTCAGGTTTAGCTTACTATGCATACAATAAGGACAAGTATGGCGGGAATGTGTGTGTGTATTAAAGCAAATACGGACGATATCCGATCAACATTTACCTCATTAATATCCAAAAGAATTGTCTTGGCCCCCAGACGGGCCAATTGCAAGGCCAACTCTCGGCCCAGGTTCTGACCGGCCCCAGTCACCTGTACATCACGGGTATAGTACTGTACATCATTATCATCAGCATTCGTCATCAACAACAACACTGTACTCTCCATTGGCTAAAACATATTGTAATATTAATTTTGGTATATATTTTAATCCAGATTAACTGCACACCTCTGGATTACATAATAATTCGTTCTGTATATATAACAATAACGTCAACATGTATGTATGTATGCTTACATACATACAAACCTGCTATTAGTATCAGTGTCTTTTCGTCGGCATTTCCTTCAGTACTGCTCCTGCTGTTTGCTCACCCACTATTGTCACTGCTGAGTATGTGGTGCCGCTGTGGGTACTAAAGGGGGCAGAACTCTTGCTTACACTACACTGTTCAAATTTGAACAAATTTGTTCATTTGTACTCTGTACCCAGAGCGGCACCAAATAAATCAAATTTGGTGTGAGAACCCCAGAGCTGATCCTCTAGCTTGCTGCAAGCAACTGAGAAGCTAATGTTTGAGGAGCAGGCCAGGAGTGCTTCCCTGTACTCACCAGCACCAACTGTATTCATATGTGCAAACACTCCATACAAATAAAAGCGTCCAGTCTTTGGAACTCACTCCCCGATGAATTAAAAAATTGTCCAACCCATGCCCCGTTCAAAAAAAAACCAAAAGGTACCTAATTTCATCCTCATAGTTTCCTACCTTGTGCTTCAAACTCACACTGTATCTCGTACTACCCACTCCCCCAATATTAGTACCTGTACACCTGTACTCACCACCACCAGCTGGCCAAGCAGTGACTTCTCCCCCGGAGGTATGATGAGGCGGTAAACATCCATTAAGAGGAGAATAACAGCCTTCACATTGAGGATTATAAAGCTAGTGAGGACGACCATCACCTCCCAGACCTTTATCTTGGCGCCTGTAGATACAATACTGCAAGATTAATACAGATATGAAACCAAAGTATTATTGTCAGTAAAACTAAACTAAAATATTCACAATCAATTAGTATGTCACATATGCACTTATTATATAACCCAATATTGACTATAAGCTAGTGCGAGAACGGGTTGCAGTAATAGGGATCCTATTTTTATATCAAGACCTCTGAGGAACTGCAGTATCATATATACAATCATTATCATCCGCAAAAAGGAAATTTACATATACCAAGTCATTTTTTAAGATTTAGATAGCTATGGATCGTATAATACAATCAGCAGACTCCTATAGATGTCACTGTAATGCTTACTCTGCTAATAGTGTCTTCCACTGTTCGCCCAGCCTACATTACTGTGTGATGCCAGGTGACGACATGTAACTAGTTAGAGATTGCTCTCACAAATGTTCAAAGAATGTTTACAATATTTGCTAATGATGTACTAGTAGAAATATTAACCAAGTATCCAAGGTTTGCCTGGTGTAGATAATGCATGGATATGATTGTCACCTTTCCATCACACGCGCACATATTCACAATCCATATACACACTATCTGCCCACCCCCCACCCCCACACATACAAAATAACACCACCCACCTAACCCACACGCTTTCTAAACAGGCCCACCACCACCCACCTATGATCTAAAATGCCCATCTCCGCCTTCCCACTCACACTCACTCCCCTCCTTACCCACACCCACATTCCCCCCACTACCCAGCCAACCCCATGCAAAGACCACCACACAGCCACTTCAACCATACACAACCTACCCACACAACCACACTCCATCTACGACACATACCTAACCCACCCAACATTCACAACTCTCACCAACCTCCTGCTCGTCCTGCCCTCAACCTACTACCCACACAAATCCCACCCACCCAACTTGCACCCACACTCATCAACACTCAACCACCAAAAAACAATTACAGTTGAGATCCGGGACCAAAGAGCCACAGCTCAACCCCCGCAAACACAACTAGGTGAGTACCTACACATCTTCTTTCGACCAAATCAAATCAAATGTTTATTTAGGTAAGGTACATACATACAAGAGATTTTACAAAGAGTGATGGATTTATAGAGAGGGCTAGTACATACAATGCCTAAAGCCACTATTACGCAAAGCGTTTCGGGCATGAATAAAATAGTTATTAAATAGTTATTATAGAAATAGTTATTAAAAATACAATTATTACAGAAGGATGAGTTACATTTAAACCCTGAACATATGAACATTTAAACCCTAACCAGGGTGCTTTCAAAACAATCTATACAGCCTACGTGAGACCAGTACTAGAATATGCAGCTCTCACTTGGAATCCACGCCTTGTAAAGCATAAAATTAGATTTGAAAAACTTGGAAGTGCTGAGATTTTCAAAAAGCTCCTGAAGATCTCTATCTTACATATAATTGATGCTTTGGTAGTGCCTGTTCATTTTTCCTAGTGAGGGCAGCGCTGCTCTTCTTTGAGGATACAGTATTTAAATAAATGCAGAGGTGCATTATATGATCAATATTCATTTTCAGTACAGAGCTCCGGTAAAAATGTGATGCCCGAAACCGAAAATTTGAAGCCCTTCAATTAAAATCTTACACCAAAAATTTAACTTCTTATGCTCTTAAATTGAAAATGTTTCCATATTCCAATATTAAGTTGTTTTTTATCAACTTCATACATAGTTTCGCTATGTATGAAGTTTCTACCATGCCTTCAGATGTTTCACTTTGCTTTTGTAGTTAGTTTAGTTCATTTATTATGCACCCCATACCCATCTTGTGGGCTGTAATGGAAAGGGTTACAGAGGCACATAATGGGCTCAGGGACTGAACCCCACAATTCATTTAGCTAAGCAAGTTACAATCTTGATGAGCTAGTTACAAAATTCAGTATAAGTCGTCAAATCATAAATGGGTTGTTCGAGATGCTTGTTATATGAATCCCCACAATGGTGAACGTTCTAATAGTAAACTATGTGAACAAGAGCTGGGACATACTCTCACACACTATACACTATATCTGTAATTGTCCGGTTATCAATTATTTCAGACCAAATGTTATATGTTACTGGAATCTGATTTACCTGAGAGCCACTAACAATAATGGCCTCGACGAGGACAGGTAGCAGGCGGCTTGTCGAAGGTACCTCCATTTGTCTTGATGATCTTTTTCAGTTGGACTTTAAAATTTAACAGTTATGGCAGTTACGGCTTCGGCGGGTAGGCGGTTCCATGGGTTTATATTTCTCTGGGTTAAAAAGCATCTCCTGTTCTCAGTCCTACATTGTGGGTTGTTAAGATATGATGCTTTGAGCTCTGTAACTACTTTATACCTTCACGAATATTGGAAGTTTTTCTTGTGCTCTACCCAGAGTTTACTACTGGAGGCTAGTAGATTAGACTCGCATCTCTCCTGATTCCATGTTTATTTATTTATATATACAAGAGTTCTTACATTCTTGTACAGCCACTAACACGCGTAGCGTTTCAGACAAGTCCTTAATCCTAATATCCCCGGAATACGACCCCGCCAAATACAACCGGGTATCCATTTTACTGTTGAGTAAACAGAGGCTACAATTAAGGATTGACGCCCCGCGTAAATCCTTCCCTGTCAGGATAAAAACTCAGGACAAAGCGCTCGCGAAACGCCATACAAGGCAAATGTCTTGTATGAGTGTATGTATGACTAATCATACTATCATGCAAGAAAAGTCACACATCTGATTCATTCAATAAAATCAGCATACTCCTAGATGTTACCACTGCTCGGCTTAGACTCTGTTACAAGTATTTCTGGGAATGTTCATTATCTGCTGATGTAGACCTGACCAAATGGAAACTGTGTCAACAAAATTATTCGCACACCCTCCGTCACTATGTGATGGAGTGCGAAAAGATCCGTGAATTTAGAGACAACTCTATAACAAATGTACAAGAAATGTGTCAAATATTTCAGATCTGCTACCAGAAATTTTAGACAAGTACGCTCAGTTTGCTAACTATTGGTAGTAAATGTGGGTGACTGTAACCTTCCCACCGCTGTCCACTAGATGGGGGGCGGTGTGCAGGACAAACATATCAATTGTGACACTAGCGCTCCACACACGTCAGTTGTTTAATTTAGAAACGACTTGTGGTCGGTCTCGAAACCCATTGTTGGGCTTAATGACAATGTGCATTAAATTTTGTAACTAGCTCATCAAGACTGTAACTTGCATAGCTAGATGAATTTTGGGGTTTAGTCCCAGAGTCCATTATGTGCCCCTAGCTGTAACACTTTACATTACCGCCCACAGGATGGGTATGGGGTACATAATACATTAAACTAAACTGAAAAAAAAACTGACTAGCCATCCTGTGAGATTGGGATACTATAGATGAACTCATAGCTAGCCTTTGATGTACACTGTTATGCGATAGGGTAGCAGCACACCGCTGTGTATACCTAAGCCTGTTCATAAAAAAAGAAAGAAAGTTTCATAGAAATTCATTAATTTCATCGGGAATTCCCATGAAGCATATGACATTCTCATGGCTTGAAATTTAATGACAATCCAATATTAACATTTTTCAATACGACTTACTTGAAATAAATTCATCAGTCAGATATCTCTTAATGAAACCTGTAGGCTGTGAATGTCCAGGAGTAACGTGATTTTCCTGTAGGCCTACACTGTGTTTCCCCCCGAGGGGGTCATGTGGGTGTCCATCGTTGACGACTTCCTCTGCAGGACTGTCCATGGCGCCTCTCTGCCTCACACTGAGCCCGCCGCTGGTCTCCTCCATCCCGCAAGGTGGCGGGACGCCGGCGCGTATAGGGAAGACGCTGACACCACGGAGTAAATGATCTTAGCCCTTAATGACCAGATGGCTGAGCATGTCGCCGGCTGGTCAGGTTCGGAGCATGACTGGTAATGATGATTTCTGCGGGTGTTGGGGGGCGGTGGAGGCATGGGTGTGGTCTGAGGATTACTGCCTCAGGTCGCCCGGGGAGTCTGAGCGTCATTGCAGGGTGATTTTTCAATTTGTGACATTAAAAAAAAATGTTTTTTGAGAATATTCGCATAAATTATTCCTCTCCAAATTCTTTCCATGTTGATCAGTGCGTCTTGCAACCACGGCCACAAGCACGAGAGAGCATACAATTATGCAACAATCATTGCAATAAATGACTGAGGTTGAGTGGGTATAAATAGGAGCTGCCGCAAATACAGGTTAATATAGTTTATTATATTGTTATGGTGGATACAAATGTCCAAGCATACATAGGTCTATTCTATCATTTTGTGAAATACTTATGAAAAGGCCTGTATGTTTCTACAGTATTCTAATGAACGTGTCTGTCCCTTGAAGAAGTTCACGTACGCTTGTTTAGACAATTAAATACATCTCAAAGGGATAAAGTAGCTTAGGCAAAGGGATAGCTATCATACCATTATCACACAACCAAACAATTTGATGTTGTGTCGAGTGCCTAGGACGAGGTGGCACTTAACCAATTCAGAATTTATAGGCCTTAAGCGTTGATCCTCGCGAGCATGGCGCAGTCCTTAGGAACGGCGCTGTACTTGTGAACGGCACTGGTACTTGTGAACGGCGCTGGTACTTGTGAACGGTGCTGGTACTTGTGAACGGCACTGGTACTTGTGAACGGCGCTGGTACTTGTGAACGGCGCTGTACTTGTGAACGGCACTGGTACTTGTGAACGGCGCTGGTACTTGTGAACGGCGCTGGTACTTGTGAACGGTGCTGGTACTTGTGAACGGCACTGGTACTTGTGAACGGCGCTGGTACTTGTGAACGGCGCTGGTACTTGTGAACGGCGCTGGTACTTGTGAACGGCGCTGGTACTTGTGAACGGCGCTGGTACTTGTGAACGGCGCTGTACTTGTGAACGGCGCTGGTACTTGTGAACGGCTCTGGTACTTGTGAACGGCGCTGGCACTTGTGAACGGTGCTGGTACTT